ATACCCGTAAGGGATTCCCTGTGCCATGTCGTCGTTATAGTGTGAAAATTAAGAAGGCTTTCACCTATAACAGTATAATTAGTTATATAAAGAAAACAAATCAGCATTAGGCAGTACAAACTCAAGATAAGTTTTTGTGATTATATAAATTTATTTATTTATTTATTTTTTTTATAGTTAAAGTCTCTATTTTGAGGATATAATATTTTTATTCAAGTATATTAGGACATAACATGCTACTAGAAGCTTACTTTACATTGGAGGTTATAATTAGTCATATGTGCACTTTTGGTATCCAATTTAAGTAGTTTGCTTACATATTGCTATATAAGTTCTATATTAGTTGCCATATCTGCAAACCAACTAGAGGTCTTGCCTATTTAAACCTTCTGCATATGCAATTCTTCTTGTATTATGAGAATATCTTAAGGCTACACCTATCCAAGTTCCTGATACTTGTTGTTATCTTTAGGACTAGTTTATTCTTAACAGGAAACTTACTAGAGTCTTTATGTTTTACACATATAAACCTAGTTTTATGCAATATGTTATAGTTATCTAACACTTGTAGTCACAAGGATTATCTGTTTAACTGCTATATTACACTATTTCTACCTTTGTAAAGTTTATTAGAACTCCAGAATCTATCTTCTTAGCATTTTCTTTATTATCTTCTACTAGTTACAACTCAGAACTATTAGTCTTATTCCAGACTACTAATTCAGATAGCCTGTTATGATATACTCTATATTCTTTTCCTCTGATGAATCTGGCAACTTGGTTGATTATATGCTCCTCTACATATATATGATGTCTGGTTTTAACATTCAGTTTCTATGAAGATGTTTTATGAGCTTTTATTGATTCAATAGTACTGTTAAAAGTTTATGCTATCTTTTTATTTAGGAATTTCTAAGTAGATTTTTGTTACATCGATTCTTTAGTTTTCTATATCCAATAATCTTATTGTGGATTTGTACCAAAATCTTATGTAATGCCAGTTATACATTTCTTTATGTACATGTAACATTATATTTCATATAGATGCTTGAGCTCTCAATGTTGGTAAGATCTGACTTGATATATCTGAGTAACAGCTACATGAGACCAACTGATTGACAGAAGACAGTTATCATAATACAGATATAATTTTCAAATTTCATTATAGATGAGATTTGAACCTTAGACCTGCTACTTGAAAGATGACAACCCAACTACTACACTAGGATCACTATTCTTTATTATATAAATTTATTAAAATTAAAAAACACAACTTATTTAAGAAAACTTAAACAAAGAAATAATATAACATTTTAATAATACTATTATAAAGACTAAATTTAAAAAATAGATATCAATGTAAAGAAACTGAATAGGCAAAAACCTTTAAATAAGAATATTACCAACTAGACTACTAGAATTTTAACTAAAGAATTAGAAAAAAAGAATATCAGACTTATTTTATATACTAATAAACTATATAGTTGTAATTTTATATAGATTATTTGAATTAGAAGTTTGAAAATAATAATAAAGATATACTAAAATATTAGAAAGAAAATATAAAACTTTGTAAGAATATAGCTCTGTTAAGATCTATAAAGTATTAATATAAGAACCTTTTGCATCTTACTGCTAGGTAATAAATATTACTATATATAGCCTGAATACTAGTATAAAAAAAGATAATGTTAAATCTGAATGATTCTTAATAAAAAACAACAACAGGATTGTTCAACCTTAGGTTGAAATAGTTAGAGTTATACAAGTGCTAATTAGGTAAACCAAAGAGTTTAAATAGGACACTTACAAATAAGAATCAGATATGACAGATAGTAGGTAATCTTAAAACAAAGCCTTTAAATAAACAATAATTAAAATTGTATATGAAACTAGCTGTACTCTCGTGAACTATGTATGTACTCAAAATATTACTAACTAATAAAAATTGCCAATTTAACTAAGCAATTGACTGTTCATTTAAAAAAAAAAATTTAATGATTTGTAACACTATATTGCATACTCAAATTTGCATTTTTTTTTTATTATTCTTTAAATGCACATTGTTAAAGTTTGGTCTTAAGAACGTGCGCTTGAGGTTTAATTTCAAGAGATATAAAAATAGTACTGCTAGTCATCACGTGAAATGATTAATTTTGTTGAAATTTTGACCCAAACCCGTTAAAAGGGTCCATTTTGACATACGTATTAATATTAGTAATGCGGGCGATCCCAGCCTATCAGCTGGCGGGCAGGCGGGTCGGCCCATGACCCATAACTCTGTGGGCCGGCCTGGCTGGGGTATAGTAAAACATATTTCGTCCAATAGAAACTCATCGTGTAACTTATAATTATTGGTCAAATCATATATAGAATGTTCTCAAGCGAATAGTAACAAGTGATTCTAGCCAGTTTTACAATGAAGAGATCAAATTACACGACTATTTTCATTTTGTTTTGCTGAAAATTTTTTTAAAAAAATATTGTCGGCCCGGTCGACCGGCCCAGATAATTGAGGTCGGGTCGAGAATTTGGCCTCGGCCCGTATCACTAAATAAGTAACCATCAAATAGAACATATATAAAGGTTTTTACTTTAAATTCATTTTGTGGATCTTTTTATTATATAATTAGGTATGCTACTTATAGCAAACTTTTTTATTGAATATACCGGGTGTTTCAAAAGTTTCACTATTCTTAGAGCAACTTTGTATATAGAGATCACGATATAAAGAAATGGACCATGTAGTGGAACTTTTGAAACACCCGGTATATATATCCCAAATCAAATAAATTTTTTGTAAAATATAATTTCTATAGTGTTTTTTATACGTACAATTAAAAATAATTTATTATGTACGTATAAGTACTGCATATTAAAATAATTTCTAAATTTACGTACGTACAGAGTATACGTACATATACTTAATATATTTCTGTATTTAGTGTAAAATTTGATAAACATTGAAGCCATTATTTCCATTATTGTCTAGAGCGAAGCAGAGACCTTAATTTCAACTTGATACAAAAGTTATGTTTTTGATGCATTCTATTAAAAAGTATCGTTGCTATCGCTATACGGATTTAGTTTTTTAAATGCCTAATTTTTGTCCAAAGTAGAATAAAGTGATACTAAAATTCCCTTCGATACATTTTTAATATCAAAACCGAAATTTTGCATATTGTGAATAAGCTTCGCGTGGTTCACATAATAATTTTTTTTGCTTTGACTAATAACGTATGTACAAGAAACGAACATAAAGCTTGGCATTATTAGGCGATATTTCACACCATGATTTACGGTAATCAAACATTTAAAAAACTCTTGCTTAAATATTAGCGTTTGCGTTAGATACTTCATTAATCCAAAGACATTGAAATTTTCCGAAAAAATATTGGTTGGCCTGCATAAATTGGTACAGGTGTGTGTAACAATTCACAAGCTGGTTTAAGATACGCCCAATGCCAAGTATATAAGCCCTTTCGTAACGTCCTATAAAGTTTTAAATCTTGTGCTTGCTCTGTCGGTTTTACTGTCGAGTAAGATATATCGACTTGTGAGTTTAGTATTGTACTAGAAGCCTAGGATTTCCTGGGCTTGAGATTGCTAAAATGGGAGCAACGGATAGTAAATTGGCCTTTCGTAAAGGCGTATTTAGGCTGTTTGAAGAGAGAGTAAGCATTTACCGTATGTACTAATACCGATTGAGCATTATATCCTTACAAAAGATTTTTTATTTTTAGAATATTGATGTTTCTGATGAATATTGGTCACAGGTAAAATGTCAAATTAAAGGTATTAATTAAAAACACCGACCCAATGTCTTATATAATCATATTTAGTTTTGGGATCTCCCAGAGTCTGCTGAAGATGTATTTTCACTTGTGGGTGCGCAAGACATTCGACGCGCAAGAGATCAAGCGAGGGAAAATCTTGAGACACTAATACATAAGGTCTATAATAAAACAATTGATTGGTCTTCTTATATTTAAGACTGAATGACTTGATATTAATATCTGTAGATTACCGATCGGATTTTTCATATTTTGGGAGCACCTGATTTTCCCTCCCCTCAAAATTCTACATTACAACTTCTCAATTGTATTAGACTCCTTACACGTGTTATGCCATTTATTTTTGAATCAGAAGAATTAGATGATTGGGAGAATGAATTCTTCTGGACGCCAACAAAAAATATCAAGAAAACCATTAAATCAGAGACCACCAGTGATATCCAAAATGCTTCAAAAGAGGTGAATGATGGAATTCCCACTGAAAATTCAGAAAGGGATGCAACTCAGGTAGACCAGAATATTTATAATATATATATATATATATGTTTGTTAACATTGCTATTCGTCATGCAATATAGGAATCCTCTACCCAAAATCGGAATAGTTCCGAGTCTCATGAAACAATACCGCCCCTTGGAGAACGCCTTTTGTCCGCGTTAATCGACCTATTATTTTTGACAGGTTTTACATTACCAATAAATCTCTCGAGTGAATCTTCTCGCATCGTTTATGTTAATTGGTAGGCGAGTCTAGTTAATTGCTATTAAATTCTGCATTTACAAGGAATGCTAAATTTCATAATGCTTTATAAAGGGAAACAGGTGTTGGATCTACTATACCGATTGGATCGTCAAAAGAGAATGATTCTAATAAAACAGAAACATTAAGGCTCCTTCTTGCACTTGTTTCAAAGTCAATGTACATGCCAGGAGGTATATATTAAAAGTTGTGTATAAATCATAAAATGTTTATATTGATTTTTCATATAATTTTGGCTGTTAGCAACCTTCATTTCAAAAGAAAATAAATGGATTAAATTCTTGGTTCTTAAATTGGAACGAAAGGTTGTTCTAGCATTACTTTGCAGTCTGCTTAACACTACTGTGAAATACAATCCTGCTGGGTGGGGAGTACCTTACAACCATATGGTTTTTACAGATCCACGGGAGATGCTCGTGACTCTCTGTTTACAGGTTTTGCTAGTCTTATTAGACTACCGTTCCCCATCAAATAGAATAGATACTATCTATGCAGGTACTAATGATCCAGAAGAACATAATAGATTGTCATCTGCTGGGACAATAGGAAACAATGAAGAATCTGCTTCGGCTACTTCACCGAAAAATGATTTATCAGGAGAACCTGATGCAACTCAAGAGGTGCATAGTGAGGCTACAAAACCGAATACTAATCCTCAAACATCACATTTGCCTCCAAATGTGGACAATGCGTTTAGACATTATGCTTCAAAGTTACATCGGTCTCAAGACTTTCAGTTTCTTATGGATGGGATATATCGTATTCTAAGTAATCCGATGCAGGTACCACGAAATTATTATTAAATAATTTAAAAAATTTTCAAACTAATATTTCAATGATTTATAATAATCTAAGGCGAATAACACATATTTACCGGGATCTACTAAGCAAATCCGATGTCACCAGGAAATGTTAATGCTTTTATGGAAACTTTTGGAGATTAATAAAGTAGGTTATATAAAATGTAAAATTTTAATTAATATACAAAGGTTTTAATACGCTCATACATACAGAGGTTTCGGAAGTACTTATTAGAAACTGATAGAGTTCTGGACGTTTTAATTGTCTTATTGTATTATTCTATGGAGAATAAACATGATCAAGGTTTGCATGATCAATAGTGTATTTTAATTCATCTATTACCATTTTAACTTAATCATTTATTATGTAAAATCTATTTTGTTTTAAGCGCAACTTGGATTTGTACGTATGTGTGCCTTTATTCTGCAAACGCTATCTGCAGATCGTAACTTTGGCATGAAGTTGAACAAGCAATTTGAAGGCTATGGATCACTTCCTTCGAATGTTCGAATTTCTGCATTTAATGCTGGCACTTATGCTGACTACATGATCATTGTAAGTGAACTTACCTGTTTATTCTTTCTATGAATAAATTAAAATTAAAATTAATTATTAATTTCATCATAAATAAGTCAATATATGCTCTAATAGCAACAACACGTGGAACATTACATCCACTTTATCCTGCATTTGTACTGACAATCACAAATGTGTCTCCATATTTGAAGAACTTGTCTGTTACTTCGTCAGTAAAATTAGTTCAACTTTTTTCATCGTTCTCTTCACCAGGTTTTTTACTGGCTGATGAAGGAAATCATCGATTGGTGGGATATATGTTGGAGGCTTTTAATAATATTATCCAATATCAATTTTCTGGTTGGTTTATTTATACATCTATATATATATTAATGTCGCCAAGTGAAAACATCATGATTATTGTGAATTTCATAGTATATTTTTTAGAACTGTATGCTTTTATTTAGCGACACTCGTATATATTTTTCGTTTGCAATATATTAAATTTTTTTCTTTGTATTGATAGACAACCCGCATGTTGTATATGCAATCGTTTGTAACCCAAAAAAGTTTGAAGAATTATTCGATTTTACACTTTCGAAAGGTCTAGCTGAGGTTAAAAGACTGCAATCTGCTAAAGAACAACGTAAAAAACAGATACACAATATTTCCATGAATAAATCTGAATCATCATTAGATAAAAAAAGTATGCATGATGAATCGGCTTCGCAATCACAAACAGACTCAGAAAGTATGACCAGTAATAAAAAGGACGAGGAACATGATGTAGAATTAGACGAAAAAACAGAACTGTTAAATACAACTTCAGCAGATGAACATGAGGAATCAACGCACTTGTCTGAAAAAGCTCGCGGTAAATTGCCGGAGGGCGTCACAGCGTCAAGTAGGCAACGTAGTAGTATGGACAGTACCCAAACCGATGCTAATAGTAATAACATTATAACACCTTTTGCTGTTGGAAAGTCAGGGTTTATCCCAACTGAAGACTGGGTTTGTATTTATTCTAAAAATTAGTATTATTTACCATATACAATTTGTAAAGGTTTAATTCATGTGATGTAGGTATCCGCTTGGCATCCACATTTACCATTTGGAACAATTCGAGTCCTTCTTCGTGAATTAGTTCCGAAAGTTAAATCCATGTGTGCTTCACAATCAATAACTACTGATCAGGGAGTACTAGAATTTCTTCGAACTACTTCTTTAGTTGGAATACTATCACCTCCGCAATCCCTTTTCATTCGTAAATTTCAATGGTCAGAGGCAAGCGTAGTTTGGTTTGCGAGTGTGTTGTGGGCACAAGTGTATTTAGCATCGTCAAGCTATCTAGGAATATTCAACGGAACAAATGTGAAGTTGTTTTTGGTTAAGTCTTCTACGAAAGAAGGGGGGCAGAGACTTAAAAACGCGATTGGAAGTGCCGTTAGTGAGGGTGTTCAAGGCGTTTTTGATCGTTTGGGATCAAATAATACTAATTCTAATATGTCGAACAGTACAACTGTTAATACTAATAATACTGATAACAATGCACCATGATATGATAGATAAAGTAAATTAGTAATGTTCGTAAGGGTACAGTGGTTTATTTTTTAAACATGTATCAATAAATCACCTCTTAATAATCATATTTAAGTGTAGATTTCTTTCATCGACAGTGTACGTCAACATTCATGGTGAGGTTGTTATATGTACGATATAAAAACACGTTAATTACGATAGTACTTGACAATCTCCCAGGCGATGGAACACATCCATGCGCGTTGGCTGAGGGAACACTTTAATAAATGACCTACAAACATAAATATCTAACTTGTAGGATTTCAAATAAGAATTACACGAAGTCGATCCACCAACTTCAACATTTAATTGAATCTGTTATTTTAGAAATCTGGAAAAAAACGAATTTTACATAGTAGCATCCGAAAAATATACATGTGACCGAAACTCCTGGATTTCGGACCTAGTTTCGGTTTCAGACCCATTACAACTGTTCTCATAAATTCTAGGACAACTGATAAAAATTGATCGACCGAATTCGATAAGTTTTTGAATTCTGTGTTATCGGAATTGGATTTTCAGCATTACAGTAATCCAATTCAAAAACTTATTGAATTCGACCGATCAATTTTTATCAATTTTGGACCAGGATGATCATTTCCGAAATTAAATCTTTGGTCTAAAGGTCGAATCTAATTAAAACCTTTATACAAGGATTGAAATTTTAAACGAAGCATCGTATAATAGCCGAAATAAATAAAATTGGATATTTTAAGATAGGAGTTTTGCAATAATTGGGTTGAATTTTTTTTTTGAATAAAAATTTATATTAAAAAAAATTTTTCTATTTGTGAGGGCTAAAAAAGAATATGATATTCATAACATTCTTTTTTTGTAATAAATATTAAGTTATTGTTAAGTTAGGTAAACTTAAAATATATCTTATATGTAAATGTTAGAAAGTTGATTCAAAGGCTAGAATTAAAGTTTTAAAATTATTAACAATTATATTAATTCAGATAATAATATAATCTTGATATAAATTACATTAATTTTTTTTTTTTTTTTTTTTTTTTTTTTTTGCTCTTAAGCAGCCACGCTAGTAC